TTGTAAAATTAAGATTGTGGTTTCTAATCAATTTTATGAAAGTGTAAAACTTGGAATTTTTTATGATCGGGATCGACCTCCCCATGGAAGAAATTTCATGCAGCCACGATTTCCTAGCATGATTAATGAACATTAGTTGTAGTTCAACGAACGCTTGTCGATGATTTGTCGATACGTGAATTACAAATATTATTAATTATTTATTATTAATATTATACATGTAAATTAACGTAGATATCCAATGATAATAATATCATAAATAAGAGTAATGAAATAAAATTAATTATATATAGTAAAAATTTATTGATGTAAAATCATTGGAATTAATATTGCAACTTCAATAATTAAATTAAATTGGTAAAAATGGTATTGAGAGTGGTTGAGATTTTGATATTGGATTAAATCCACGATTCGAATCCACAATCTACTTATAATATTAAGATCATGGCTTTTAAATCGATTATATTTGTCAAAACGTCGAAGTCGAAATAAGAATTTTCTACCTTGCGAAATTTTTACCATTTTAAATCTCAGATCCGAATCTCTGAATTCCTTCTTGCGAAAATTAACCGAGAACACACTATTATACTTTTGCTTTAACGGGAAGTTAAAGTAAGTTTCGCGGTTGAATTTCTCGAGCGATCGTATTTTTAAGGTAACGAGCGAATCAGTCACAAGTCGGACGAGCATCACGGACCCGGTTCGATAAGCTCACGGGACCAGGGGAGGGCATTAATTATTCCCTTTAGATTGCGCCTGGCGCGATCCGTAAAATTTCCACCCCAGCGCCAAGCGTCGCCATCAATTTCGTCGCTTTTGCCGCGCAATAAGGTTCTCCCGCTCGCGTCACGGCGACGGAGAATCCACCCAGTGAAGGAGACTTCTTCTCGTCTCATCGAATGGTAATGCCTGCTTTTACGATCATCATATTTATAAATGTAAGCTCTCCCGATGTGGATCCCTGCCCCGGGTGTTGTAGCCGACCCCGATGAAAGCAGCCTGTTAATTGGGAATACTGATGGCAACGCGGGGAAAACCGTGGGCTCGGATCGATGCCGCCCCGATGCCTCCTCCGTTTCCTTTTCCCTCGTTTCCCTCTGTCCGCTCGCCTTTGGTTTCATCTCTTCTCTCTCCCTCGGCCACCCACGCAAGATCATGGCGCCGGATAAGACCCGTGGGACGCTGTCAAAGGGAGCTTATATTTATGAGACTTTCGGCAAACAAATGGATAAATCTAATATCTCGGAAGCGGGACGTCGAAGCTCCTTGAGAACGCGGCCAACGTCTTTCCCGCGGATACAGACTCTTGGATGCTGGTTTCAACATTATCGAGATTAAGACCTCGACGGATGAAGAGAGATCGATGCGACGGTTGACGGTTCGATAGATTTGCAACAAGCACTATGGTTTCTACTGTTCAATTAGATGTTCCTCGAGGGATTCTCTCGAGGTTCTTTTCAGAAGAAATTTCGAGCTATCAGAAGTGAGAAATAACTCTGAAATTACAATAACACATCGCATCTTTAATATTAAATATTTCATTTGAAACTAAATGTTTAATAAATTGTTACAAATATTAGGAGAGTTGTTTGACTTTCGGGGAAGGGATTTCGGCGAACTTTGCAACGCGAATGTACTCGAAAGGTGCTAGATATAATTGCGAATAATTCTATCTCAATAACCAAATAAAAATCTGGAAAAACGGATGGAGATCGATTTGAAAGTCAAAGTGGTACAGGAACAAGTCAATTTGTTTCTCTAAGTTACGTTTACATCGCGCGAACAGCGAGCGAAGAGAAATCCAAGAGTATAATATAGGAAGGGGAGAGTTTCGAATCACGAACGCTGGCTCCCGTTTCGTTCACCGGCGCCATTAAAGACGCCATAAAAGAAGTGGCCTAGCGGCGGTGAACGAGTCCCGATGGCGAGAGTGCTAGGCGAAATTTGTCAGTATTAAATAAATAACCCATAAAGGTGGAACATCAATCCACCGTAGAAACATTAACGCCCGATATAAGGGAGCCAAGCAACGGCTGTTATTTTTCATACACAAACAACGTCTTTTACACGTAGGTAAAGAATCGTCGTTTCTCCCCCCCCCGTCGATACCTGTTTTCGTTTTTCTTCGATGTTTTTACGACGTATCGTAAGTCACGTCGAAGGTGGAAACATGATGTATCTATTAGGACGAAAGTGTTTAGAAACCCTTCAAAGTTGTAATTTGATCGACTGGTTAATAAGATTGATCGCTGAAAAATCGGCAGTTGAATTGTTAATTACCAACTGAGTTGATTATAATTTGATTGTAACACAAACCTGATTTACTTATTAAGTGAACGAGCAATAATAAAGAACTTGATTTCAGCGAGGTATCCAACTGACGATTACAATATTATTGATCGTTAATAACGATTAACGATTGAAGTAAGAATTTAATTATTTAATCGTTTAAAGAAAGAAATTTCATTGTAATTAAAATAGGAATGTAATCGCGATCAAAGATTATTGGGAAAGTTTTAATCGTTGATTAAGTCATTGCTAATTGTTTAATTTTACAAACGAAAATCTGGATCAGTGGATGCTTTAAATGGATACGATACAGTCAAGGAAGAAAGACACTCGCAAAAGCAAACTCGCGAATACAATCACGGAGAACCGTCAGATTCGCGACGTATCAATTATTCTTTCCATGGAGAAACAGTTTACCTAGCCGGCTTGAATAATCCGGGCGTCAAAAACTTGTGCACCTTGACGAATTCAACTTGTTGCTCGTCGTCGGACGATGAGCATTCGAATTCTCGGACTCGAAGCCGGATTCTTCCGAGAAGCTGGCGGTAGAGTAGCATTTCTCGGCCCTTCTCGCGGTCGAGGAAACTGCAGAGGCGGCTGGGTGCCTCCAGCGAAAGTTCGGACGGCGCGGTCGAAAGTTTTCGAACGGTTGAAAAGAAAGACCACCGATGGCGGCGAGCTTTCGGCTTCGACTGCAAACGGAGCGCGGAACGGCGGTTGGTGGCCGAGGGGCAAAAAGGAAGGGAAGAGGAGCGTGTGCGATGAGGCGATATACAGCGGAAGGAGGGTTCGGCGGCGAAGAAAGCGGCGCAACGCGGATTCGGCGCGCGTGCAGGGAAAGAGGAAAGGCCCTCGTCGATACAAGGAGTCGATTGTGGCTTGAAAGACACCGCCGCGCGACTCGCCGCGACTCGGCGCGGACAGTGGCCGACTTGTGCTCGCGATACGTACGATTCCGATGCCGAGATTACCAGAGGGATTATTTCGTGGATCGCACGCGCGCGGTCTCTCGAATCCTCCGGCGTAGACCACGGCCTATTAGCTTTCTCTTTGATTGGCTGCGGTTAATGAGCCGAGCGACGCGCGTATAAATTGCCGCTTACCCGCCGCGACTTTGAAGATATTTCCAGGCACGCGGTCCTCAGTCTCTCCTTGGATTCCATCCGGCAACGTCTCTCTTGCCCCCTCTCCTCTCCGAGAACTATGTTCGCGCGACCGTCATTCGGAATAATTGCCAGACAAATCGGACTCGCAGAGATTTGTTGGAGTCGACTAAGTCGTGTCTGAATGCAGATCGATTCGATAAAGGCGACGCAGAGTTTGGAAATCCGTGAATTATTCCGTCTCATACACATACGAAATATCTCTTCGAATTATGATAATGCGAAAAATATTTTTTGCCTGGCATGAATGGTATCGAAAGGCCAATACCAATAACTGATAGAAATATTTCTTTTTTTTCGTTCAAAGTCGTTAATGTTTGTTTTTCACATAACTATATATATTTTTCATTGTAGCTGGTAGAAAAATACGTACGACTTTGAAAATTTAAGTTTCACATATAAATTTATATTATCGGGATCACAAACTTTGGCCTAATGAAAAATGTAAATAAAGATGTTTACCACTTATTACGTTATCAATGATAATCTTTTCTAGCAGCTTGAAATCCTGATCAATCTATCGAATGTCTATCAGTAATTCAGTAATGGAATACTCAACGCAAGAAAAGATCGATATGACACTCATTTATAGTTAAAAATTTATGGTAAATAAATCAGCCTGTATGTATACTTCGCGATACATTTCTATTGTATTAGATTGTCCCAAAAGTTTCTTTCGTTTCATTTATGAACATTGTATGCACGATATTTCACGTTGATTGAGTTACAAGTGATCCATTCTGATTTCCTTCGCCTCTGCGGAAGCCTGACAGTGCCATCTTTTCAAAACTTCTGCGATTGTATGAGGAAACATTTGTATGTTTGAGATACTTTTTTTTTATTGACCATTTATTGATTGACGTATCCATCTTTTATGACGCCGTCGTGTATTTTCAACTGTTAGAAACAAATTGTTGGCATTTCAGGTTGGGATGTTTTATCTCATTTTCCATACTCTCCGGATATTCTTTTCATTAAAAAATTCTTTCTTCGGCCAAAGATTTAGCTTAAAATAAATATATTTTAGAATAAAAAATAAACAACTCATCTTGAACGATATTTAAAGATTGCAGAGATGGTGGAAGGCAATAAAACCAGAATGCATCGTACGTCACTTGATAACGTAAAATATAAAATACTGGGTTTACTTTGTTCGTTAATAAAACGAAAGGAACTTTCGGGGCAATCTGATGGATATCACAAACGAATAAACAGAAAACAACATACTACATCGAATTACGTAGCTACATTCACGGGTGCTGGTTTGGCAAGAGTGACGCGTTGCGTAACCTAGCGGGATGCGAAGAGAATTCTCCAAGATGGACGAAATCGGTGCGAAGCGCCTCAATTTGACGAAGGTCAGGCATTCAGAGATCGTTGAAGGAAATTAAAGCCAAAATCAAAGTTCGGAGAATCGCGAAGTCCGCCACATGGTGAAAATATACGCTGAAAGTTGCCAAAGTTTCCGAGACACACGTACGTAACCTTCCAAAGTTTGTTTCTTAACTCGAGATCTCCCGAATTTCCGCGAAACATGTCCACTCTGGACTCGAATCTCACGTCGAAACCTCACGTGGAAAGTGACGAAAGCACGGTGTATCGCTGCGCGTCGTCGACGCACTGTCTGCCCATTGTGAGCAACGTCTACCTCAGGATAAAGCCGAACGCCGAAGCGGAAACTAATGGGAGAGTTTACACGGTGCTCGGCTCGACGACACTTCGCGTGAAAAAAGGGGAGACCATAGACAAGAAATACTCTTTCGCGAGGATCTTCGACTCGGACGCCACTCAGGCTGACCTGTTCCATCAAAGCGTACAACGTCGAGTGATTCGCTTCCTTCTCGGCGAGAATTCGACGATCTTGACCTACGGAGCGTCCAACACCGGGAAGACGTACACTCTGTACGGAACGCCGGATTCGCCCGGCGTGATCGCTCGCGCCATCGAGTTCCTGTTCTCCACGGTCAATTGCACCTTGACTGCCTGGTACAAGGTCACCGACGACGACAGCATCGTCCCTCTGGACGAGCGCCAGCGAGCCACGGAGATACACGACAGAGCGAGTTTGGTAAACGCGAAGACGACCGCTGGAGATGAGTTCGCGCAGGCTCGACTGTCCTTGAGCAATTCGAAGCCTCGAGTCCCAGAGTCGGAGGAGCAGGAGCACTGGAGAGACGAGTGCATGACCTCCGTGTGGATGTCCGTTGTGGAAGTTCACAACGACAGCGTGTACGATCTTCTAGCGAGCGACGACGAAGAAAGACGACCGTTGAAAGTGACCGCTCGGAAGGACGGTTCCGCGCGCGTAAACGGTTTGAAACTCGTTCACGTTATCACGGCTCTCGAGGCTTGCCAATTGCTGATGCACGCTCGATCGAGGATGGCCGTGGCTGCCTCGAACTCGCGGTCCCACACGTTCCTCACCTTGAAGCTGTTGAAGTACGAGAAAGAGAACGCTCCGGAGGACGTTCGCGTCAGCACGCTGACGTTCTGCGACGTGGCCGGCTCGAGGAGGCTCCATAGAGTGGAGGAAAGGGGGATCGGGTTGACGGAATCGAGGAATATAAACAACAGCCTGCTGGTGCTCGGAAGGTGTCTGAAATCTCTTCGCGACAATCGCTCGACAGTTGGCGACCACGTGACCTTCGGTCCTTTCAGAGAGTCGAAGTTGACTAGGATGCTTCAGAAGGTTCTAGCCGGCCGTGAAAAGGCCAGCTTCATCGTCACCATCGACGTCGGGGCTGACTCGCTCCTGGAAACGTTGAGCGTTCTGAATTTCTCGGCGATGCTGAGGAAACTGGAATGCGAGCCGAGGACGTCGAGACGGAACACGTTCACCGTGGCGGTACCAAGCAGCCAGAAATCGTCGTCCAGGTCGACGTCTGTCGTCCGAAGCCCGAGAAAGACCATCACGGTCGAGCTCGAGGAGTACGAAAC